TATAGTGGCAATGCCGTGTTATAATTTCCAATAGCTTATGTATTTTAATATATAAGATAGTCAAAAATGAAGGCTTTTAATAATTTATTCCAACGGACGCCACAACAATCAACAATAAAAACAAAATAATAAATAATTTACGTCTCAATTTTATATATAAGTTAGAATTAAATTAAATCGGACATATAAAAATAATCATAAAATAATTTGCATGCTAAGTCATAGTTATACGAGACAATTAAGCTTTTTTTAAAACACTTATTTTAATGTATTTTTTTGTTTTTGTTTTCTTACAATCTTCTTTCCCTTCTTAATTAATCTAATTAGTTTATTTTTTTTTCTTTTTTTATTTTCTTTTCTTTATTTTACACTTATTTTGATATACTTTTATTTCCGTTTTTTAAATGTTTTTTTCATTCTTATATAATCTAATTACTTCATGTTTTTTTCTTTTTTCTTTTATGTAGTAAATTTTGACTTAAATTTTTTATGATCAATGTATAAGTTTTTATTTTATTATATTTTTTTTCTTGTTCTATGTTATTTATTCCTGTTATAATAAATAGTTGTTTGTTTTTAACTTTTCGTTTATAAATTAACCTATAAGTAAAACAAATTAATTTTGACAATTTTTTAATTTTTTAAAAATTAAAAGTATAAATAAAATTTGTAAAGTCCCAAAAAGTCTTTTAAGAAATAAATAAATAAAATTCGTATTTTTAATAATAAAATTATGGTATCAATTGACAAAAAGATTATATATTTATGTAGGTGTTTATGGATATTTTTCATTTTTGAATTTCGTAAAAATAGTATCTGAACTTATATAATCGTTTGTCAAGTTTATTGATGCTCTTTTCATAATATTTTTTTATTGAAGAGTATTTGATGGACTTAAGTGCTTATGAAAACATGAAACTGTTGAGAAAAGAATGAAAGAACAAATTAATTTTATACTTTCTTTGTTTTTCATATTAATAGACTATTTTTTCTTTTACGGATTTTTTTAAGAAATCATAAATAAAATAATAATTTATTAATTTATACCTTTACTTTTTAAAATTTTTATAAATTTTATCTACACTTTCAAAAAAAAATTAATTGCTAATCTGCAACTAATTATATCGTAATTTGTAAATTGATAAATATTTTCATTAACTATTATTAGCAATATAAATAATTAGTACGACATGAAAAATAATGTCAAAATGTTAGAAACAGAATGAATCTGGCAATTATTTTTTTAATTCAATTCTTTTCATGAATAAAATTATTAGATGGTGAAAATTTTGGAACAATTTGAAAACGAAATCAAAAAAAAAAAAAAAAAAGGTAATGGGGTGGAAAAAATGAAGAGAGAAAAAGATGAGTTTAGATATTTTTTTAAAAATTCGATAATCCACTTTAAAAAAAATAAATAGAAGCTCATACAAATATTGTCTACCACATTATATTTTTGCCTTATTCATAATAAAAAATTTTCAAATAATCACTTATCATTATAAAATTATCCTAACAAGTGGAGTTGATATGTTACATAGTTAAATAATTTTCTTATAGTAAATGAGAATTCAAAATATTTAGAAACCTATAAAATAAATTATGGCTAAAAAAAAAATTTATTTGAATCTTAAAATTTGAAAGACGCATTATACAACATATTGTAGTGTTAAATTAGTTGTTATGTAACAATGAAAATATTCATTCGTATGTTATACTCTTTTCGTCTCAATTTATGCGAGGCAATCAAAATTTTAAAAGTTAATTAAATTTATCCTTCATTGAATCTTTTATTATTTTTTTAAATATTTTAAGTTGTTAATTATTATAATTTCTAATATTTTCTTAAACTAGTTTGGAAAATATTTAAACTTTCTGAAAACTTAAAGCTTACAACTACCTTATTTCTTCTTCTTTTTTCCTACATAATTCTTCATTTACCTAACTGTCTAATACAGCCATACCTATTTTTTTTTTATAATAATAAGTATCTTTCTCAATCCACTATTAATTGTCATATTTTTTACTTTTAGAGTTAAATTTTAAAAATTTTAATTAATATTTTAGGATATAATTTTTGATCATATTAATATGTAAAAAATTACAGTGTATAATAATTTTCGTATAGTTTTTGAATATCTGAACTTTATTTAATAAATTAAAGTAATGTAATCTAATTTAAAAATAAATCAAATTAACTTTTAAAAAACTTAACATAATAAATATAAATGACAGAGGGATCATTCCCAACTTGGTGCTGCATGATTCTATAGTATCGTTTTCTAAATTAAAAAAAAAATATTCCTGTATCTTTCTTGTTAAAGAATGACAAAAGTCCCACATCGGTGATTAATGAGATGGGTCGACTCTTTATAAGACTTGGGCAATCCTCCTCCCTTTGAGCTAACTTTTGGGATGTGAGTTAGGCCTAAGACCTAATTTCACATGGTATCAGAGCAGGGCCCGTCTCACCCGATGTTGGGCTGGGCGTGAGGTGGGGTGTTAAAGAATGACAAAAGTCCCACATCGGTGATTAATGAGATGGGTGGACTCTTTATAAGGCTTGGGCAATCCTCCATCCTTTGAGCTAGCTTTTGGGGTGTGAGTTAGGCCTAAGACCTAATTTCACATGGTATCAGAGCAGGGCCCGTCTCACCCGATGTTGGGGTCCCCAAAATTAAAATTGCCCACGCACCAGATGCTAAGCACTGGGCGTGAGGTGGGATGTTAAAGAATGACAAAAGTCCCACATGTTAAAGAATGACAAAAGTCCCACATTGGTGATTAATGAGATGGGTGGACTCTTTATAAGACTTGGGCAATCCTCCTCTCTTTGAGCTAGCTTTTGGGGTGCGAGTTAGGCCTAAAACCTAATTTCACATTTCTTGACATCTCATTCGATTTAATTTCATGGACAAACATACAATTCAAAAAAACAAAAATACTTGACACTAACATCATGGATCAAATTTATATTCAAAAAATCAGCCTTTTCTGACGGTCTACAAGTTTGATAGAACCTAATAACTTTTGATTCAAATCATATATTTATTTTTATTAAAAACACCACCGTCTTTTCTAATATTTAAAATTTCCAGCTCCATCTCTTAGGGAGGGTTATTTATAGTTTGTTGAATTGCTTTTAACTGTATTAAAGGCCGGTTTATAACTTTTGTAATTACATATTTTGTATTTGTAATTATATCCTTAGTTTTAATATTTATTTAATTTTTTCTTATATATTCTTGGTTGAAAACCTGAAAACGGCCAGAAGATTCAATTTGATTGTTTGTTATCTTATCATGCAGAGTCAGAATTTCACTAAAATGATTCAAATTTCAAAATATAAAGTTACCACTCAAACAAATCAAAGGAATTTCTACTTTTATTATATTTACATATAAAATAATTTTAATTATATATAAATAACATAAATTTTCTATCGACCCTAACCCGTAGACTCTATCTAGATCCACCCCAAGCCCAATTAGAAAGATACATTTTTACTCTTTATAGTTATTTCTATATATAATATATAAAATATAGACATATTTTACAACCTCTCTAAACTACTTCAGTATTTAGTACATCTTGCATGATATATTGATCAATTGAGTGCTAATCAGTCTTCACAATGGTAAGTCTTGTTTTAAAAAAATAAATTCAAATAAAGTTGGTTTAGTAAAATATAACTCTAATAAAATTTTTAATGTTTTTTTTTAGGGATCGGATGAAAGTGTAACAGATATCGCTTATATCCCCGTGAAGAATCGTCGACAAGGAGGCTTTACTCCCACTTTCTTCATATTTGGTACTAAACTAGTGTTCAAAATGAATACTTATCACGTAATTTTCAACCAAACATCAGAAAATATTTTCTACGATACACACTTAATTAAATGTGATTTTGCAGGAATGATGTTGTTGGATAACATAGGATTTGTGGCAAATATGATGAGTTTTGTTGTGTATTTTGCATCAGTTATGCATTTTTGATTTAGCTGGTGCTGCAACTAATACAACAAACTTTTTGGGTACTGCTTTTTTGCTCACTATCTTCCCATCATTGGTAAATTTTACATTTTCATCAGTATATATTGTAGTATATTATGTTGCATGGGATGCAAATCTAGGGACATTACGTTCGGACATGATTTGAAGTTGAAATTTTATTTGAAAATGTAATTTAAATTTCAGGTTTTGTATTTTTTTAAAGTAGCGGAGCCCACTTATGACCAAGGTTCATCCAAACCCCCTTAGATAGAAAATTTTACTATACTCCCACTGTCCCGTTTTATGTCACTTTTTTACTTTACGCTACATTAAGAAATGATATAACTCTACCCTTTTACCCTTATTGAATGTTTTTCTTAAGTCAACTTTATAATAAATGATGAATATATTTTCAAGATTAATTGATTATTCTATCAAGGGTATAATAAGCAAAATATGGTAATTTATGCACAAATTTTATAAAATGACAAGTATTGTAGTCCAGCTATTTATAGATAGCTATGACATATAAAATGAAACGGAGGAAGTAGTTTTTTATTTTTTTAAACTTAGATGTTGGTACTCTCCTTCGGCTAGTTTGTGTATCTACTTTGATTTTAAACCCTTTTAGTGAAAATTCTGAACCGCGCCTTCCACAAACACAACAATTCAGGCAAGTGTTTCATGTTCAATGCAACAATTCAAACATTTTGATTTTAAACCCTTTTAGTGAAAATTCTGAACCGCGCCTTCCACAAATACAACAATTCAGTGTTTCATGTTCAATGCAACAATTCAAACCGTTTGATTTTAAACCCTTTTAGTGAAAATTCTAAATCGCGCCTTCCACAAACACAACAATTCAGGCAAGTGTTTCATGTTCAATGCAACAATTCAAACTGTGTACTGTTATGAACAGAAACTTCTTCAACCAGATATGTCTGTCTGTAACTATGAGTATGACCTCACAACATACCATATCTCTACAAGTGAAGGTTAGAGAAAAATGGAACAAAACTAAAGTTCAAGTATAAAACTTTCTAGTCATGAGTTAAGGAGTATTGTTTGTACCTTTCTAAGCAATGTATATAATTTCTACTACAATTTCAAGCATATTTAGGTAAGGATTACAAAATTCCTATAGCTTCTGGAGTCCACATCACTAACCAAAATGAACTGTTGTTAAAATCATCAACTATTTATTGTCACTACTCCATTCCCATATAACATCATAGTGTTCAGGAAAATCTGCATTCACGGGACTGCGATCGTTTCTTCTAAAAACAGCAATTTGGGAGGCAAATCCTGGTTCTTTGTTAGCTTCTCCCCCAACACCACTGAACACGACATCATAATTATGCCTTAAAGCTAGCTCAGATGCCCATTCACAGAACTGCTGTCTAGTCCACTCAAACTTGTGATCGTGATTGCGGAATTTGCATAACTGCTGCTGGCTCTTCTCATCTGGGTCATCCTCCTGGTATTGGGGAGTAGATTTCTGGAGAATCACATTGTATTCATAATTGGGAGTGGAGACTATAAGAATCTGTGGACAAAATGAACGGAGAACAATATCCCCAAACAAACATGCGTCCTGTTCCTCCATGTGTTCAATCACCTATAGTTGATCAAAATTCCCAGCTATGTGTTAATGCTATAAAGATTCTATGGAGGAAAGAAAAGACAGAATCCAAAAATATATAATGCAGAAAATATCACACTTAACACAACATAAGTGCCAATAAAGAACGTTGGAAGCATCATTGATGCATCACTCACCTCCCTAGCAAGACTAATTTCTTCAAACTTAGAGATTATGTGTTTTAAGTGGTTAGACACTACTGAACTACTAGAAAATATCATCACATCATTATTCATAGTGAAACTAAAACAAATTAAATTGAACCAATCATAACGATAAGAACCACCCGCTCCAATATAGTTCATCACATAGGAGTAGAAATATTGAAGAAATCTGCCAGCACTATACCCATAATGAAAACTCAGTTTCTAATTTCCCCTCCCTCCCTTCCTCCCTCGTAATGAGTGCTAAGCTCTGTACTCTTCTGGTAGGCGAATGAACGTGCCATATCTCTGCCAGTTTTCAGATGTCAAGGAAGCAGAAAAACCTGTCTGCTCTCTGCTATAAATCAAATACATACAAGTTTTGAAGATGCCACTTACACCAGCCTCTAACTTAAGATAATGGCAAGGTTCAGAAAACGGCTTCCTCTGAATAAACACTTCAGATCACATACTATTTACTGCTCCAGAATATCTACCTTCTGACCTCAAATACTAATACACGAGTACATGATATCTAACACACTAAACCATCTATAGCGATCAAGTTGACAGATCATATCACAGAGTTCACCGATCAACTCAGTTGCTTCAATGAAAAATACTGTACATATAACCAGCCATAGACTTCATTTTGAGGATGGATATAAAGTTCATCAGCAGTTTTACACAAATATTTCATGAAACTCGAAATGCCCGGAAGTTGATCTTTTTAAAGAAAAAAAAAATCAGTACAACATCTTAAAAGCTATGTAACAATCAATAGAAGAGAAACTGATTACCTCCAAGCAGGTTGCAATATCATATCCACACAACCGAGAATCACAAGACAAAATCGAACCATCATATAGTATTGCAGACTTGATACTGTTGATTGGTTGTTCAGCTTCTATATTTCCATTGAGTTTTGAATGAAGTATCTGGAAGTTAAAAATTATCTTAGGTGAAACCATAAATAAAAGTCTAATAATAATTTGAGACCGGTAATGCATGTGACTGGTCTTCTTTTTGGCCTTCTTTTGATGATTAACATTTTATACAAACAAAACCGCAACAATACATTGTTGCAGTGGGTCACATCAGGTTCTAAAAAGTGTTTCAGTATCCATATCCAGGAACTTTACAAAAGTCAGTTCCCACCTACTCTAATTCGAGAGATAACTGAGGAAGTCCTAAAAGCTATCAACATCATATACATTCTGCATGTGGTAGACACTAAGTATAGAACTATGCTCCATCAGTGCAAAAAATTTAGAAGTTAATTGTAGTTTTTAAAGATCTTCAGAATTTTTTTAGCATCTTGAGCTGACATTTTTGACCTCATTAGTTTAACTGTTCTGATAGTCTAAAAACAACCAATGATATTGATGATGGTATGAAGTTGCTTTCCATTCCAAAAAGAAAAAAAGGAGAAAAGATCTTTTTCACTTCCATGTAATTCATTACATGAAACTATTTTTCCAGACTCTATAACCATATACCACCACAAATTAAAAATATTATCTACTTCGGAGCTTCCAATGCCAGAATATGGATATAGAGAAAACCTATATCATGAACATATATATATAGCAAGGAAATAGACACACGTGCCTCAGTGTGCATATTTCATATAGATACTTTTGACAGGTAAAAGGACCTTGACATTTTGGCCTAGGAAACATCTTTCTAGCTTTGACAATCCAAATATAATGTCATTAACTATCAAATAGTAAAATGTCACACTGAAATTATAGGCTAAATTGGATTTAGTTGATGACACAAGATAATATCTTAATATTGGATTGACAGAAGATAACCATTGCAGTTCCTGAATTTTCTCACTTGAATAACAGGTTCAGTTTCAAACCTACGGTTAAGATAGAAAATGCACAAGCTCTGATTATCATTGCCAATAAAAAGAAATGCAGTAAAAGAATTAGTTATAGGTCAGTTACAGAGAGATTAGGATAGCAAAAAAGCAGTGTCAAAGGGCTGTGAATGCATCAGACCTTTGCAGCACGAGCAAGAGCTCTCTGTGAAATATCAACACCTGCTATTTTCTCAAGAGAGGTTTGATAAGCTAATAAAGACTCCAGCAGACTTCCAGAACCACATCCAAAATCAACCTGCAATGGACTACAGATCAGAACAAGCCCTTTAAATATCTAAAGAGACTGAAAAATCATTTGAAAAGGCTAATACCAAAGAAGCAGCACAAGATTCTCTAATGTGCTGCACCGCATATTCAACACGTTGTTTTGATAATGGGGGAGAGAATAAGGCCTGTTCCATTCTATCCTCCAGGGGTACTGTCACACGCAGCAAAGTGACTTCACATTTCATTAAGCAAGTACCTGCCTCCAGAGAGTCCAGAGAGGAGAGGGAACTTCAGATTACAGGAACACATCAGAAACTTTAAATGGTTTGGACACGATAAGTGATCAGCGGAAAGCATGTTCTATATTAGAAACCAATACAAATAGGGCAAAGCAATCAGAATAAAATGACACAGATGCCTAACTTTACCTGAAGACAATAATGAAATGATATTTGCAGAATCATGAGCCACTGCTAGAACAATCTCTTTTGCAGGCAATTCCATAGTAAAACATGCAGACTGGTCAACGGACATCTGTGTTACAACTGCTTCAAGAACAGGAGATACGGCTCCGCTGCCAATCTCAAACTCAAACTCTTCAGACCCTTCAAGATGTTCCATAATGCATTCCCTTTCCGTGGCTAAATATATCTTGTAAGTCACACACACCAAAGAACCACTAGATGGAGTCGTTCCAGATGATAATTCTTCTTCAAGTGTGTTATTCTGTACATTAGAGTAGCTAGGACACACGAAGTTTCCTGCTAGTGTTGCACTGCCCCACTGATATTTGGGCAAAGTTTGACATAATGTGAACTCCTTAACAAGCTGTTGAGGATAAATAAGAATATCAAATCCCTTTGCAGATGATGTGATCTCTTCCACAGACATATCAACTTTATCAAGAAATCTATCCAACCATGAGAGAACTTTTAAGGCAGTACTATGCATTGCATCAATCTGTTTCTTATAAGATTCCTTTGGTGAACACAGCAGAATTAATTCCTGGCACTTGGAGTATATCTTCACTGTACATCTGTAGACTAGATTACACCCTTCTTGTGCTACAGCAGTAGCTGCAAGACCCCCTTCATTAGTTTCGTTTTCACCTGATGATGTATCCCTCAATCTTTTACGTCCAGGTAAATCTGGCAGAGGTTCAATGGAATCGCTTGAAAATACAGGTTCAGACAATCGATGCTGGCGGCAAAATGTACAGAGAATATCTCTTGGAAAAGAACCCCTCCAATTGCTTCTTGTTGTGAAAGCTGTGGGAAGTTCTGCAGCAAGTATTGCTTCTCTAGACAACTTGTAAATTCCACTGGGTATCTTGTTGGCAAGTAATCTTGATAGGAAAAAAAAAAGAGAAGAGAAAATGAGCCCCACTTTCTGTGCATTAAAAAAGAAGAAAGAAATAATTATGCAAAATCAACAATAGAAACTGCGCATCACGGATAAATAAAGAAGCCAAAAGGCAAACACAAAAATAAGAAAGAACAGAAATTCCTGAAGTACAACATTGTGACTTCAGGTGAGTGTTGGGCACCCTAAACTCATCATGCAAATCCACTGTCTCCATTATTTGACTCACCACACCCAGATGAAAGGAAGGAAACTTACTACAACGGCCATCACAATTCAAACATATTCTACATGTCAATCTGGTCTAGAATAAGCCAGACTATGTTTTGATTCAACCAGACTTTGCTGCCTAAAATCTCAAAAATGATGCCACGGACATACCTGTAATATGCACGCAAGGATAAATCTTCATAAAAAAGATCAGTAGATTTCCAAGTGTATCCTACAGACGCCAAAATTGCATCACCACATATTTCTTGACCAGATAGGTAAGTCGCGATGGTATTCACATATCCTTTAAATGAACTAGCTTGTTTCATATATAGCTCTGATGATGAACCAATTGTTGTGGACTCTGGAGCACAGAAGTACAACCTCGTTTCTGAGGAAGCTTTGCCAATAGTCCTGTAACAGTAAAAAAGGGTTCATCGTGAAAGCAAATGCTTGAGTCAAATGGAAAAAATTGTTTATTTAATCAAGCCTTTTCTTACATAACCGCAAAGCTAGCTTACAGCTCACATTGACCCAACCATCAAAAAAATTCCAATCCCCCATATATAACCACTTTATGGGGATGTTCTCGGTTTTGGTCATACAAGATTGTTGTCTAGCTTAACTACATAAATTCCAAGATGCATAGAGTATATATCATAGCAGCATTGGAAGAAGAAACCATACAATCTGTTAGAGAACTCTAGATAGAAGCATAGTCCGATACAGGTTTTAAAATGATCAGTTCAACCTTCATGGTTTTAGACAGGACTCATTGTACTTTTGAAATTTTGGGTTCAGATTTAATACTGGTTGAACAGTTAATGATTTTCACATGTATATTTAAACTCTGTCAAAAATAATGGGTTCATTTGGACCCCCAGCACAAAGGCTGCATCAACCACTGGATAGAAGCTCATTCATATACTTCTTACCATACTGGATTAAAATCAACTTCTGATCGCTATAAATCAAGCAGACTGTATTACAAAATTTTTACGCGCCAAACAAGGTACTAGTCCAATGCTCTGTGTATACTCTTTCTCACCTTGAAATCAGAACCTTAGAAGCATCCTTAACCCCTAATTCCTTTGCAATAACATCCAGGTAATAATTGCCAGAAGAGGCATTAAGTATCACAGGTTCCACAGTCTTCTCTGCTGAAGATGGAACACGTATTGCTTCAAATGAAATGCTCTCTGGGGAATTAGGTTCATTCTTTGGTAAAGATTGTATAATCTCAGGAGGGTGTGGAGTTAGCCTCTTCAATGACCGCTTCTCTTCAGAGAACAAGAGGGAATCTTCTAATCTCTTTGCAGCTTCAATAATAAGGGACATCACCAACGAGGGATTTGATTCCATTTCAGATGATATACATTTACATAAGCTATTGATCTTTGCATCAAACGTGGCAATAGCTACCAGAGGAATAAACCCATTGAGGTGACCTTCTCTCACCAACGCTGCTCTGAAGTGACCACTAAGTGGGTGAATTGCAGGAAGGAACTTTCATCAACAACCGGAAATGAAAAAAATGAACAGTAAAATTAAGATCAGTTAGGTAGTTCATTAGCTGCAGAAAAGTTGCATTTATGAATTACATCCTATTAGTCAAACCGTTCACATCATTTAAACCTACTCACACAAATAAGTCAGTAATCCTATTAATGAAAATGCAACAGAAAAAAATTAATAAACCTTTATGAGCATTAGATATTTCACAAACTCTAGCATGCATAAGATGTCATTTATCCTTGTTGAAACAAAGCTAATAAAACATAGTAGATTATTAGAAACCAGCTTCCCAGACAAGTTCCAATAATTTCATCAGATGCTTTCTTATGCTGATAAACATGTATATAAGTCAAAGTTCTCACTCGATCTCTCCATGGCTAGTTAAACTATGTAATATTTCAGCTGACTTCTCAAAAAAAATTGCATCACCACATTTTACACGAATAGAGTTGCATACCTCAATTGAAAACAAATATGATAGTCGACCAACCAATTCATCCCATGCTTGCTCCACAGTGAGATTAACTTCTTTAGGCTGGATACCTAGCTGCAGATAAACAACAACCACGAGTGGTCAATGCATTAGCTTGTCACTGACATTTGAAAATCTAAGATTCAAGCTGAGACAAAAATCAGAACTTGTCCACTTCATATGTTAAAACCAGTGTTTTGAACGGCGAGAAGCGACAAAAGGCGACAAGGGCCTGCCTCACCACTCGGCGAGGCAAGCAGCGAGGCGCTTGCCTTTTTGAATTAAGGCATCAATTAATACCAAAAATTAAAAATATTTAACTGCATACATAAATATCCAAAATCTTAATAGTAATAACACATATTAGCAAATATTCAATTCAAAAACCAATAGTAGTAAAACTTTAAAGACCAAATAATTCAAAATACAATACTAAAACTTTAAATGTCTATTCTTCTTCAAAACTATCCAACTCTTGAAGAAAGGAACTCAAAAAGAACTGAAAAAATCAAAAGAAGAAAAAAAAAAGAGGTATACCTCAGGTCCTCAGTGCAGCAGCACCTTGAAGATGATGGAAAACAGGAGAAGAGACGCGATCGGCAAATTTTGACAATAGAAGAGATCGCGAAGGGAAGAGGAGTCGGGGCGAAGGGATGGTGAAGGGAAGAGGTGTCGGGGCGAAGAGATGGTGAAGGGAAGAGGAGTCGGGCAGCAGCAAATTTTGAAAATAAACAAAAAAACCCTAATTTTGACTAATATTGTTAAGTCAAATCTTTTAAAAAAATTTAAATCAAAAAGGCGGCGCCATTTTTGTCGCCATAGGTCGCCTTTTTTGGGTCGCCTTGCCTCAGTGTGGAATGGAGAGAAGGGCTCGCATCGCATCGCCTCTCGCCTTTGGCGATGAGGCGCTCGCCATTCACAACACTGGTTAAAACTGATCACAAGAGCATGCAGAATTACAGATAAACAACAAACATGAGCTAATGATAAACTTCTCATAGATGTTTAAATATCTATGTGACAAGCATGAGCTAGTGCTGACCTTCTCATAGACATTTGGATATCTATGAGACAAGCTGAGAGAGAGAAAATTCATCAACTGCTCACTTCATTTGCAGTACTCTTTAAGAGAAATGAAGAATTTATGATAAAGAGTTGGTTGGTTCTACAACGGCACAACCTGAATTATCAGCAAAAGAGAAAGTAAAAAGTTGTTTCCTTGAGTAGAACCCGATTTAACCGAGTCCTAATATTTCTTTTTCTTTAGTACTGGGCTATTCTAGAGCCCCAAACAGTCAGGCCATTGTGGTAGTCAACAATAAAGGCAACATTCAAAACTATCTGATCCAAGGAGATACTCCATGAAATTAATTCTATGGAATGCAAAGGAAATAAGAAAGAGTGTCAATCAACTTCAACTTCAACATCACCACTGTCGACAAAAAAAGGGATTGCATTAAGTAACTAAAAGAACACATTTAATACAGAACACCCTTAATGTCAGACTATGCTCCAAAACACACAGTATTCTTGATCTAGCCATCACATGACATTGACAATTTTTATTTTTTTGATGACAAGGGAACCCGCAGCCGCTACCCTTTGGGTGCGCCCAGGGTAACCCCCGCTCCTATGCAATAACTTGCAAACCACATAGGAGGGTAACCTGCACTAGGCAAGCCTGGTACAACGAGCTTGACCAGAAGGCAAACCTCTTGCTTCCACTGGCAAGGGTTTTCGAACTTGAGACCTCCAACATGGAAGTCACAAGTCCAAATCATTGGCCACCCCGAATGGTCGTGACATTGACAATTCGACATCACCAAAACACACCTCCTATGGCAAAGCCACACTCCTTTCTGTCAAATATTTAAATAGCTCAAGAGCAGAGAGTAAGACAAAACCTGTTGTATAGCCTTCTCAGCAGCAGATTGCTCGGCATCCTTCTTTCTTCTGAAGGCTTCAGAGACTACTGAAAATTCTGGAAGTTGCAGAGAACAGCGATAGAGGCAAGGACCTCTCTGAGGAATCACTAAACCAGGACATCCATTTTGTACGACCTCTTGAACTTCCTCGACCTTATAGCATGCTTTAGTACCAAATTTTTGGTGTATGATAGCCTTAGGCGTGAAAGGTAATTTCTTTGGACCACTTGCTGGGACTTTTCCATTTTCCATAGCTTTGCCAGGGTAATTGAATACTTATAACAATTCAAATCCTACACTGAGAAAGTGTTTCAGTACTAATACTTGTAACAATATTAACGCCAAGAACACAGTCAATAGTTAATACCAACAATTCCCTAATTAGATTTGAATACTCATTCCATCGACAATAAGCCAGCAACAGGAGAAGTAACCATCTCCATCCACATGTTAATACTTAATTCAACAGCTAATCAGGTACTAAAGAAATCATAACATGTTTAGACTTTTCGACAGCAGCATATTCAGAGTCCACAAATAGATTCTTTTTTCTAATTTCTCCACACAACATTATAAAAAACATGGAATACATATACCCTTTTCTGCACCAAGCAATAACCATGGAATACACATACACACAGTATCAAAACACGCTGCATTTAAAGCAGTAATCTTATATGATTAACGAAAACTCTGTTTCTTAAGTACCACTTACATGTATAACAACACATAAACCAATCATTCTTTCACCACTACAAAACAAAATCAGTTTCTGGGTCCTCACCAAATGACAAGAATTCAAGAATCGGCAAAACCAACCAACAAACAAAAAGTTATGCTTGTGGGTTGAGTGGTTATCTTTGAAAGATACCCTCAAAAGGAAAAAAGGACCCCAAGACTTACTTTACAAGATAGGTAAAATAGTAACAGAGAATCAAGAATGGCTGAAAAAAAAGATTGTACCTTTATATCAATTGGGGGTAGAGAAGGGTTACAAAGTGAGAATCAAACACCCATCAACAAGAAACCAAGAAAGATAGCACCTTTTACTAGCAATGATAACAGAGAATCAAGACAGGGTGAAGAAGAAAGTACCTAATACTGGCCAGGTAGATACACAAATGTGATTAGTGACATGCATAAATTGTGAATTTTGAAGAAGGGGTGAGTGTGAGGGTGGGTGGGGGGTGGGGGTGGGGTGGGGGTTACAAATAAAGGGAAGATTGTTGTGGGAAAGAAAAAAGAAGAAGGAAGGGTTTTGGGAATTTGAAAAGATTATAATAATAATGGGAGTTGGGGGTTTTGGGTTCATATGATGGACTCATAGACTATTTTCGTCTTAAGAGAAATAACCTTTAAATTTGTTTTGAAGATATGGGTTTACGATGCTAAACATAAGAATGAATTGTTATGGGATCAATGAATTTTTTTTTTCTGCGAACAGCCTATCAATTCAAATCACGTATTTTAAAATATGTCGTTACATCATATACATGCATTCGACTTTTCATTATTTTTGATGTTCCTTCTCGTGAGAGCCAGACAGGGAACTCCTTCACGCATTGCACACGACAAGGAAGCCTCCAAAAGTCCCGCTCGAATAATAATTTAAACATTATGAATTTACCATTTTAGCTTTATTAATCATCAAGTGGATGAATTAAAAAACTTAAGATTGTCAAGAAATTCTATATTTTTCAAAGTAATGAATTAAGGGTATAATAGGTAAATAAAAAATTATTTTTTCTTGATTTGTCAAAATTGATTAGTAAAATAGAAAAATTGGTTTAATATTATCGTTATATACCAATTTTAGTTCATTGTATTTGGATTTGTTGAACTTGATTGAAGGTCATCTGGAAACAACATATCTATTTTCACGAGATATTGATAAGGTCTACTACATTATATCCTCTCCATATTCGACTTTTGAAATTTCATCAACATATGTAAATACAAAAGATTTTAAAAAAAATAAGAGAAAACAACACTACTAGTCCCAGATTATTGCTATATACTCCCTCCGTCTCATTTAATGTGACAACATTTGACCGCACACGAAATTTAAGAAATAAATGAAGACTTTGAAATTTTACCAAATCACCCTTCAAAAAAAGTCAAAAAATAGAATCACATTTCTCTCTCCTCGTAAATGTATTGAAAAGTACTCATCTTTTCACTTTTATTTATCATGTTGCGCTTTTAAAAGTCAATTTGATTAATTTTTAAAGTTAAATAAGATTACATTAATTTGATATTTTAAACAAACAATTTAAATATTCGAAACTATATGAAATGTACTATATATTACACTTTTTTTGCACATCAATATGATGAAAATACATTTTAAAATGTTAGTCAAAGTTCTTATAGTTTGACTCTAAAATTATAAACCATGACAAACAATAGTGGACAGATGGAGTACTTTATTTAAAATTAAGTGAGACTAACAAGGGTAAAAAAGAAATTGTATCTTTATATATTTACCATATAAGGAAAAATGACATTCTTTTTGGACTGAGCAAAAAGAGAATGGTGTAACATAAAATGGAATGAAGAGAGTATCAATTTTATTTTCTTATAAGTATCTGAATTGGTTGAGCTTGAGTTTAAGTTTTTTTTCTATATAACATGGGAAAAGGGTCTGATATACCCCTCAACTTTGTCATATAGAACTGATATACCCCTTGTTATGAAAGTGACTCATATATACCCCTACTCGTAAACAAATGGCTCACATATACCCTTTTCCTCTAACGAAATGAAAAAAAATATTATTTAAATATAAATTTTTATTATTTTTTTCTAATAAATATAATACCATATGAGTAAATTTAATCCTCGTCAAATATTTTTTTTGACCTTTTTGGTTTCAATTACTACTTTATAATTATTATTATGATAATCAAATTTATTTTTACTAATATTCTTGTAAAACTTATTGTAGATGATCAAATTTTTTCTTCGAATACAAAATTAAATTACAATACACACACAAAAAAAAATAGTTTAATTTTTTTTCTTTAAACTAAGGAATGAAAGAAAAAAATAATAAGAATAAGAAACTCAAATAATTATAATAAAAGAAGTCAAAAAATAATTTATGTATGAAAAAAATTAAAATATACCTTGAACTTTGATAGAAGAATCATATATACCTCTAAATAATTTTTTCAAAAAAATTAAAAGTAATAAATATAAATTTAAAACTAATTTTTTAACTTCCGTTAAATGAAGGGTATATGTGAGCCATTTTGTAACGACAGGGGTATATGTGAGCCGTTTGTATAACGGTAAGGGCATATATGAACCACTTTTATAACGAGGGGTATATCAGCTTCAAATAACAAAGTTTAGGGGTATATCAGACCCTTTTTCCATATAACATTTCTCTACCTTCGTGAGGTAATGATAAGATGTACATAAATTTATATATATATATATATATATATATATATCTTTTCTATACTCTCGATTTGTGAAATCTCGTAAATTTATGTTATTGTTGTCCAATTTTAATTCTTATAATCATTATTCTAAACACATCTAATCTTTAATTTAATAAAATAGAAAATTTTAGTCTTTTAATCAAGACAATTTTTTTTTTTAATGAGAATTTAATGATAATGCTCCTGAAATGTTGAGTAGGTTATGCTTAATACCTGTTATACATATTTGGTATTAGGATGAATAACAGGAATTTAGGAAATTAGTTGAGCCACATCAGAAATTAATTAATTAATACCGAGTTAGTTAAAGTTGTTAAGACTACTGTTGAAACAGTTAGTAGATATTTTTCTTTCAGCTAATTCAGTTCTAAATCCTATATAGTTCTGAATTGTAAAGGAAGTTCATCATGAATATATAATACAACTCATTTCTCTCTTAAAATCTGCATTTTCCTTCTTCTCTGTTTTTTCCATTGTTCTTAACTGTTCTTTAGCAGTTATTTCTTTCAATTCTTGAATTTTAGTTGATTCTTGCAATTGAGGTAACAATACCACGATAACAATAAATTCTATTCATTAATATTTTTTTAATGCTCTTTTAAGTCTAAAAATTAATTAATTGTGCTTAGATCAACATGGAGTACGGAGCCTAAAGGGTACAAAATATTAACAAAAATTTCAAAACGGTATATAAAATTTTATATTAACCAAAACGGCATAACCAGTTATAATTTTTTTTAAAAAATATGTAAATCACTCAGCGAATTTATAATTTTTTTTAAAAATATGAAAATCGCTGCGATTTTCCACAAATAATTATTTTAAAAAAATAAAATTTAAAGTAGCAATTTTATAAAAAAAAATATTATAACTTTTTTTATCTTATAAAATTGCTGCTTTAAAAAGAATTTTTTTTTAAAAAAAATTCCACATTGTTTCCACATTTATTTTAAGAAAAAAATTAAAAAAAATTTTTAAAAAAATTATACAAGTCGCTGCCTGGGCAACGACTTGCACATTTCAAAAAAAAAAATTCTATAAAAGTCGCTGCCCAGGCAGCGACTTCCAAATTTTTAAAAAAATCGCTGCCTAGGTAGCGATTTCATTTTTTTAAAAAAAAAATTCACATTTTGCAAAATCGCTGCCTCTGCAGCGATTTTGCTTTTTCCGGGGAAGTAAATCGCTGTTGATGCAGCGATTTTGCCGTTTTGGTTAATATAAAATTTTTCCGTACTCATCAATAACATATGGGCCAACGTTTGAATGTAATAATAATTCAAGAATTAAATATGTTATTTTCTCTAGAAATAAATTTATCTGTCAATGAAAATATACAAATATATCACTTAATTATTACTAATTAAGACATATTTTCTTTCTTATAATTTTTAGTTAACTAATGTTAAAGTGATTAGTTTTAAACGTAAATATTCATTATAAATAAATATTTACCCTTGTAGGAATTCATGTATCAAATAAAGCGTAATGGAGGATGAATGTAGTTTTTGGCTAAAAATTCATTTAATGCTAACGATTTATTAAATTTAAATTCCGACTAAGATGATTAAGATTTAAAATTACTTAACTATTAATCAAATATTTCAACTTTGAGCCCTACATAAAGATTTTGAATTATTTAAAACCAATATAAATATAAGTCATCAAATAAAAATCTAAAAAATAATTAATGCACCAACTTTCCAAGCATTTAAATTCCATCAGTACCATAATATTCCCTTCCTTTGGATCTATCTATTAATCAATTTGAAAATGGGCATGCTCATTTTAGTCGAGTCACAAAAAGGATTATGATAAGCTCTTAAAAGCTGTAGAATTTCATGTGTGAAGCATAGTGAAAATAACACAGATCTCCTTTTTTCAAATAGGGAAAGCCTTTTCGTTCCTTTTGGCCACGAGCATATCCCTCTTTCCTCCCTTTATCTAATTAAAAAAAAAGACATATATAAAATCTAGTTTGAATGGGCATTTCGAGAAACTTAGAAGCTAAGTTGGTTGGTTCGATGAACTTTCAGCTTATTGGCGATGGTTCTTAAGCAACATATATTCATCGTAATTCGTAATACTCAAGTTTACCTCCTCTGGGTTAAAATCAACTTTTCTTTTTCCTAAAATACCTAAATTATTTTTAGAAAAAATGACAGAAATTCCATCTTTAAGTTCTCTTATTATCATTATCCCCTATTAGTTTTACAAATTTCTAAAATCCATTATTTTTGCACATCAGATTAAGGTATCAGCGCATCAAATGAATGTATCTCACACATCAGATTAGTGTATCATGTATAAATGAACATCTGATTAACGTATCATGTATAAAATGTAATGTATCTTACTTAATGATTAATGTATCTCGCATATCAAATTAATATCAGCGCTTATCAAATTCCTGTAGTGAGACAAATGATAATTTTGCCTTGAAAGTATGTGGTTTCTGTCCTTTGCACTTTTTTTTTTTACTTCAACACATGCTTGTGCAATTCAACAAGAACAAAAAATGAATGTCTTAAGTGATGGAAATATAAATTTTGGAGTTGTTGAATGCAATATAATCTCTTGTATCAGAAACTTTACAAGACAAAATACAAAAATCTCCAGCTAAAGCAAACTAAACTATCTAAATGGTCTGCAATTCACAGCTTTCCACAAATAAATTGAAAAATTCTAACTAAAGTTTTGAGCAAAACTTGTTTTGACATCATGCACCATGTTAC